GACCTTTATTTAACCCTCCTAGAAACTTTATGTGTTTGAGATGAACTCACAGAGGCCTGAGCCATCACTGCCAAGGAGCCCTCCCAGAGAGTTCTGAAAAATATGGTTTCCAAACAATCCTACTTGTAAGGCTCTCTCTCTCTCCTTCCCCTTTAGCACCGAGTAGTAGGGTACTGGCATAAAAGCAAAACCTTAGTTAAAAATCAACTGTTTGTGACATGAGAATTAACTGCAACCTTGGAACGCTGAAGGGAGACAAAAAATACAGGATGGATTAGAGGCAAAAATGGTTTCCAGGAATGATTTATGAAGTGTCCGTTAATCTTTAGTTTTCCAACAGTAACAAGTTTTCATGACACGTATTTAGGGGGACTAAGCACTAACTGAATTTCCTCAGGTTTATGGGTTTACTTAGCAATCAAAATATAGTTTTTCCTGGGAGGAGATAGGAGAACAAGAAGGGGATATAAACAGACGCTACTAACCTTTGCATTCAGGGGCAGGCCCACTCCACTCTCCGTTGACATGATCTTTCGTTGTACAATGAATGGAGGCCTCTCCAATAAGAGAGAAGCCCTGGCCACATTTGTAAGTTACCACTGAGCCAAAGGAAAACTCTTGTTCACTCTGACCAGTACGGGATCCATGGGTGATATCAGGAGGTGGAAGACAAGGTATTGCTGAAGCAAAGAAGGTCAACATGAAAATTAAAGTTTACATTGAAGGTGAACTGAAGAGCGTTTCACTGAGAAAATGGTCTCAGATCCCCCCAGAAAGCTATTTAGCCATTTGGAAGGGGACTTAACATTGCATTTTAACATTTGAAGCAAGATCCCTTTCAGGTTCTGAAGGTTTTTCTGCTTTTAGGCTTGACCCAGCCCAGTACGTCCATTGCTCAAGGAGGATGCTTCATAAAACACCAGCTCTGGAAGATGACCTTAACAGAACGTGCCGCTTCCCAATATTAGCCTCAGGGAGCCAGAACCTCTTGCCCAGCATCTCTAGAGGTAGTGTTGTTCCACCAGCAGAAAACTAAGCTAGGACACTGCTTGTAGCAGCAGCTGATTCTAGCCTGGACATCAGCAGCATGATTGACCGACCAAGCCCAGAAAGCATCCCAGAGATTGAATTAAGGTAGAAGCAAATTAATTGTTATTCACTCCAAAAGAACCTCAGACTTTAAGTGGACAGTCAGGTTTGGGAAGGTTCAAAACTTCCTGAAGTCATTATCATGCCTTTTACTTAGTGGACAGCAGGATTACACAGATATAATAGAGAAGGAGCAGCCATGAGGACTGTTGGATTGTGCATATTAATCTGTGCCAGGTGAACAAACTAAAGGGTACTTTTAAAAAAACCTGATTCTGTAGGAGTCATCCAAACACCATGAAGAACCACAGTACGATTTCATTCCTCCCCTCAACCCAACTGTCATTTGGATTAAACGCCAAAGTAAGAACAGAGACTCCTCTGAAGCACCAGCTATGCTGCACCATCTCCAGACATGAACTGTTCTTAAAACCATTAGATTAGTTTACCTTCGCAAAGTGGAAGCTCCTTATCCCAATCAACTCCATTTCCCACAACCACACATTGGGCAGAAGTCGGTCCAATTAATCTGTACCTAAAGAACGAAAAATGGTTCAAGTTTGTTACTCATGTAAGCAAAGATCTAGTTTACCGTCCAAAAGGATGGAACGTGGTTTCTTTCTGCCAGTAGGTGGAGACAAACCATTGAAAGAGGGACACATCTAACACCACAGGACCAAGGAACACTGAGGCCAGGTCTAAACTACTCAGCTATATGGGTACAACTATGTTGCTCGGGGTGTGAAAAATCCATATCCGAGTGACAGTTACACTGGCCTAACCCCACCACGTAGACATGGCTTTGTCGAGAGGAGAACTCCCGCCAACATAGCTACTGCCTCTTGGAGAGATGGATTAACTATGCTGACAGGAGAGGCTCTCCCATCAGTATAGCAGCATCTTTATATACAACAGTACAGCTGTGCCGCTGTACGTGAAGACCGAGCCCTGTGTAGTTAAAGGCAATTAAGAGCTACAAACCAGAAGGTAGAGCTCCCAAAAGCATTAGCAGGAGAGAGTCCTCGCTTCTGGGCTATGCTTATCAGATGTTTGGGAATACTAGTTAATTCTCGGCAAAGGGGAACAAATTACCCCTCTTCTAAATTAGAGATTTTTGCACTCCTATCTCCAGTAGGTGACAGGAGGCCCTACCACCTCTGCTACAGAACTCTTCAAATATCCAGAAAACTAGTTAATTTACAGATCACATGACCCAACCCCTACTGGATGATCTCCTGAGGCCTCTAGGCTGGGATCTTCAAAAGCACCTGAGTGAGTTAGGTGCTCATCTCCCACTGAAAGCCACCCAGCTACGGTTGTCAATCTTCCTTCAACTCCTTTGAAAAAATCTCAGGTGTAATTCTTAACAAGGCCCAGCCCGTGGCTATAGATTTATAGCACACCACTCACTTATGTTCTTGAAGTTACGCAGGCTTTCTACTCTCATTTTGCCAGACTTCACCAGCACTTTTACACCAGTCTTGGTTCTGTTAATTAGTCAAAAGAAGCAACTTGCCACTCACCCTTCATTACAGGAGAAGTTTGCTGTTGCATCAAACCGGAGATCCGTGAAATGAACCCTGCCATTTTCTAGTTCTAATGGTTTACATTCCATTTCTAGAAGAGAACGAAGCTAATATTAGCGTTACCTCATATTACCTTAACGGGAGAAAGGGGATATGTTAACTTGCACCCCCTAACATAGCAAATACCATGGCAGATCAAAGCCAATGACCTTGGAGTCCAGTATCTGTCCTGTACCACAGCGGTCAGCAGCAAAGGCTACAGAGGAAATCTTACAACCCACATTATGGATAATTTTGTAACATGCCCAGGGGAAGTGGGGAGACGTGGAC